GTAGCCACTGGAAACACACAAATCAAAACCACAGAGTTTTATCACTTGATGCTTACAATGATTGTAGTGAAAACTGGCAAGTGTTGGTGAGTGTGAAGAAACTAGAGTTCTTTTTTTTGGGGGGGGGGTCAGTCATGGGGCTTGAACTCTGGACCTGGACTCTGTCCCTCAGCCATTCAGCTCAAGTCTAGCATTCTACCACTTGAGCTACAGCACCACTTCCAGTTTTCTAGTGGCTCATTGGAGATAAGAGTCTCATGGACTTTCCTGCCTGGGCTGGCTTTGAACTACAATCTTCAGATCTCAGACTCCTGAGTAGGTAGGCTTTTAGGCGTGAGCCAGCAGACCCCGGCTTGAAACTAGAGTTCTTATACATTGATGGTGGGAATAAAAATTGGTACGGTAACTTTGGATAACAGGTTAAAAATTCCTCTAAATACTAAATGGTGAGTTACCTTAAATACATGAGTGTAGCTGACACACTGATTTCATTTAGTGTGGAAAAATCCCAATAGTGGGCTTTCTGGGCCATATTAAAATTTTTTTCCACTTAATTTTTTAAAAACACTTTTTATATTATTTTCTATGGCTATGCCAATTTAAATTCCTATACTCAGTGTGATTCCTTTTTTTCATATCCTTGCTAGCAGTTGTTGTCATTTTTCATTTTGATAGTACATATTGTCATTGCAGCCAGTTGATCCATCATAGTACTTGATTCCCCTTTTTGTATTTTGATTAGTGTTGTTGAGAACAACAACAACAACACTACTGTCTTTTTTTTCTGAGAAATACCTTTAGGTTTAGGACATTTTAAAAGCTGAATAAATTGTTGGTGTTGAATTCTTAACCTATTTTAAATATTAACCCCTTGACAGAGTATAGTTTCTGCATTTACTGAAAAGTAGAGTCTTAATGGAATATCTGAGATGTAAGCAAAGTAACAAGCAAAGAAATAAACAATGTTACTGATGAATATGTAGGTAAATCTAAAGAACTACAGACTGTAAAGAAGTAATAATGAAAACTGCATGCTGGTGGCTTATACTTGTAACCTTAGCTGTTCTGGAGGCTGATATCTGATGATGGTAGTTTGAAGCCAGCCTGAGCAAGATTCTTATCTACAATTAACTACCAAAAAAGCCAGCAGTGGAGCTGTGGCTCAAGCAGTAGAGTACTAGCTTTAAGCACAAAAGCTCAAAGACAATGTCCAGGCTCTCAATTCAAGTGCCAGGACTGGTACAAAACATGTAATAAATGCATAACAAAAACAGGAGTGAATTGACATATGTGGCAATAGTATTTATGTCAAGTAACTGGTAACTAGGGAGCTGGGAAGGTGGCTCAGAGGTGGAGTACTTGCCTTGCATGCATGAAGCCCTGGGTTTGATTCCTCAGCACCACATAAACGGAAAAAGCCAAAAGTGGTGCTGTATCTCAATGGTAGAGTGCTAGCCTTGAGCTGAAGAGCTGAGGGATAGCACCAAGGCCCAGAGTTCAGACCCCACAACTGACAAAAAAAAAAATGAAGCTGGTACCTGGATCTACAGTGCCTCGAGAGCCTTATATTATTCTCAAGATAAACATAAGGACTTGACTTTAGACCTCAACAAGTTAAAAAAGGTAAATGTTATAATATCTAGAATAACAGCCCCACATTAGAAAGAAACAAAGGAAAAATATAAATGAAAATACAACTTTTAAGTGTTTGACAAAAGTATGTGCAAAAAGCTATTCAAATTAATATATATATTTATATATGGGATAGCATATGGTTGAAGCACATTATAAGATGATTTAGTTAATGTTACATGTATCAGGTCATGAGTCAAATGGTAGAGTACCTTCCTAGGATGTTCAAAGCCTGCAGTACCTTAGTGCCACCAGGTCCCGACAAAATTACATATATCTGTAGTGAGTGCCCTGCTTAATTTTGTCAGATACAATACAAATATGTGTAATTCCATGAGATATCTAAAACAGGGGTAAAGATACATTGAAAATGAGAAAATACATTAGTTTAATTCTAGATATAAGAAAGCTGTTGGGCTTTAAGAATTAAGACACCATTTCTAGAGCTAAAATAATTGGCAGAACTTTAAGGAGAAGTTTATTATTTAAGCCAGATAGTAGATGATTTTAATGTGTCTCTAAGTCATCAACAGATGATACAGATTTTGAAATATGGAAATACTAACCTACATAATTTAAATATTGTCTAATACTGTGCACATTGTAGGGTATTGATCCCAACAGTTTCTGGGTGCATATTATTTTCAGCCCACCATACTAAAATTAATTCATGATAACTGATCATATTTTGTCATAAAATAAGATCTACCAAGCTTCAAATGGCTAGTCTTAATAAGCAAGAAGTTTAACACTCTTGGGGTACCAGTGGTTCACACCATTGATCCTAGCTACTTAGGAATCTGAATTCTACTTAGGAATCTGAGTTCTGAGGTTTGCAGTTTGAAACTAGTCTGGGAAAGAAAGTCTTTGAGACATGTATTTCCAATTAACCAAAATGTGGAAATGGAGCTGTGGCTTTAATGGTAGCCATGAATACAAAAGCTTAGTGAAATCACCTAGGACCAAGTTCAAGCACCAGGAATGGCATCCCCCCCCCAACAAAAAAGAAAGAAAACACTGGCAATAAAGAAATTATTGATATATTTGGACATAAATATATTTATAAATGACTCATGTATCAAAGAGGAAATAATAGTAATTAGAAAATAGGCCAGAGCCGGGTGCTGGTGGCTCATGACTTAATCCTAGCTACTCAGAAGGCTGAGATCTGTAGTTCAAAGCCAGCCCAGCCAGGAAAATTCATGAGACTCTTATCTCCAATAAACCACTAGAAAACTGGAAGTAGCACTGTGTCTCAAGTGGTAGAGTGTTCGCCTTGAGCTGAAGAGCGCAGGGACAGCGCCCAAGCCTAGAGTTCAAGCCCCATGACCGACCAAAAAAATAAAATAAAATAAAAAAAAATAGAAAATAGTTCAAAACAATGTCAATGTTACAAATTGAGTTAGTAGGATCAAGGTACTGACAGGGAATTTTATTCTTTTAAATCTAACATAAGAAATGAAATTTCTTATGTTAGATTCTGAAAATTAAATAAGCATGCAACTTAAAAGGTTTGGAAAATGAATGATAATAATAATAATAAATAATCCCAAAGAAGGGAAACAGTATGGAAAAATTTTAAATAATAACTGAAAGAAATCTTTCATAGTAACATAAGTAAATATTCCTCATTACAATAACAGTAACGGTAAAAAATGTTCAAGGTATGCCTGTCATCAGAGCTGTGTAGGAAACATAAATAAGAGGATCATGGTCCAAGATGGCCCAAGCAAATGTGAATATGTTCCCAAAATAACCAAAACAAAAACAGCTATGTGTATGTGTCTCAAGGGGTAGAGTGCCTGACTAGTAAGCATGAAGTTCTGAGTTCAATACCAGGTACTACCCCTTCCCTCCACCCAAAAAAGATGAATATGATAAATCATGAGTTACAAAAAGTTTGCTGCTATATATCCACTAAATAGGCAATGGTGGCTCACACTTGTAATCCTGATTTCTCAGGAGCCTGACATCTAAGGATCAAGGTTTGAAGTCAGCCTTGATATGAAAGTCTGTGAACTCTTATCTCTAATTAATTACTCCAAATCCAGAAGTAGAAGTCCAAGTGATGGCCTTAAGTGAAAAAGTAATGGAAAGTGACAGCACATTCTCTAATGATTTAAAAAACTTTGGTACACTTGTAATAAAGGAGAAATTTCTGAAATTTAAAATATATTTATGAATATCTACTATATTAATGAAGAAACAAACTATTTTATATGCAAAAAGGAAAGCTAAATCAAATATCAAATTAAATGTTGGAAAATTGAAATTTTTTCCTTTAAATCCCGAACTTGACAGAGATGCCACTACAGTTCTATGTAGTTCTCTTGCAGGTTAGGCCAGAACAGGCATACTAGCATTTTGTTACGTTTAGTTGCTGAAAGCAAGACACATTCCAGCGTTCCTTCACCAGAGGATAAACAGATTCCCTCTCTAGTTGTGAGGGGTGATGAGGAATTGGTGGGAATGGTTTCTGAAGACCTTCTACCATAACTCATATAAGATTGGCATAGTAATTATAGGTACATTAAAAACAATAGCAAGACAGAAAAAAACCACTTGTGTCCCTGTCTTAGGGTTCATTTTGCTCAACATCTCATATAGCTTTTGACCTTTTCTCTTGTCCTAGACATATACTAGTTATTGCAATAAGGGAAACCATGGGACCTATGTTTCCTCCCTCCCTCCCTTTCTTCCTTCCTTCCTTCCTTCCTTCCTTCCTTCCTTCCTTCCTTCCTTCCTTCTTTCCTTCCTTCCTTCCTTCCCTTTCTTTCTGTCTTTCTTTCTTTTTCTTGGTGCTGGTTCTTGGGCTTGAACTCAGAGCTTGGGCACTGTCCCATGGCTTTTACTCAAGAGTAGTGCTCTACCTGTGTTTAACATGGATTTTCCTGCCTGGGCTGTCCTCAACCTTGATCCTCAGCTCTACCTACTTAGCTTCCTGAGTAGCTAGGATTATAGGTATGAGTAGCCAACATCCTGCTTTTTGATGATTCTCTTTAGACATGTAATATTTGAAGCATGTGAAGTTATATCTTGGATTAACTAATTACATTGTCATTTTTTGACATTCCTGAGAACTAAAGTGGTAATAGTTAAAGTTTTCCTGGATGAATAGGTTTAGCCAGAAAGCTAAAAGCAAAAAATGAGGCAAAAAACAATCATTGACTTTACTGTTCCTATATGGCTTCCTCTAGACCCTGTAGACTGTGATTTCCTGGGCAATTTGTTTATTTTTGTACATTTCATGGCTTGTCCTGTTGGATTAATAATCAGTAGCCACTGAAAACTAAACAAAATTAGCTCTTATCAAATACAAAGTATAGTAGCCATGTTTTCTAATTTTGTACAATTTTATTGTTTTGCAGATTGATCAGCTGAAGCAGGAACTTTCAAAGAAAGAGTCAGAACTTCTTGCCTTACAAACAAAGCTTGAAACCCTTAGCAATCAAAACTCAGATTGCAAACAACACATTGAAGTGCTTAAAGAGTCGCTTACTGCCAAAGAACAGAGGGCTGCCATTCTTCAGACTGAGGTAAGGCATTGCTAGAGGATTCAGCAGATAAGAGATGCTGAAGTTCTAGAAAATGTCCTTTCTTAATTGCTGTCTGTAGCAGATAGCTTATCCAAACCCTTGGGGCCAGTTGTATTTGAAATTCTGATTTTTCCCCCAGAAAGTTGAGCACCATCTCATGTAATCATAGTTTGTAACTTCCAGTGATATGACAGAAACACCCTATCAGTGACCATATGAATCTTTCCGTAGAAAAATATTCTTGACCTGAAGTAGGGTAAATAAAGGCTTTATATGTCATGTCAGCTCATATTAGGTTGTGTCACCAGGAGAATTTTCTTCACCCTTACAATTTTAATTTTAATTTTTCAAGTTTTTTCAGATAAAAGAATTAAAGATGATGAGTTCGATCTGAAATGATTTCATTTTTTAATCAAAATCCTAAAATAATTAATTTGCTCTCTGTGTAGGCTGGTCTGCCTCCTGGCATTCATTCTCCATGGGTTTCTTTGGAAAGAGTACCTTAATTTTCAAAATTATTTTACCCATTGTTAGTATTACCAGAGGATGCTGGTTTCCCTAATTTCATAGAAGAACAAAAACTGTCTGCTTACCTTTGGGTTATCCCTTTGGCCTTGCTAAGAAATGCAGAACATAAATTAGTGGGCAATCTGGCAAAGAATGTGATGAATTGTCCATTGTATGCTAAGGTAGTATGTTTGTAGATTGCCTTGTCGAGAGAAGTCAGTCTAATTGATATGCATGCTCTCTCTGGGGAATTACTTTGTGTGTCTATATTTTAGGGTTTGTATGAAGGTTTAGATTTGCTGTGGACGTTAATGGGGCTGTTGAGCAGGACTATGTTTAGCACTTCATACACAGGAGAAAGGAAACAGTTTTCAAATCGGATAGGTTCAGGACTTAAGTCTATGGACTTGCTCACTGTGATTTTGTGGAAAGAGTTGAATGGGCATTATGAAAACCAGTTTTTTCTCTGGCTTCCTACCCTAAATGGTGGCAGGTAGTTTTCTGACCCCTGTTCAAGAGCATGGAGGTTTTTCTTTCTTTCTTTCTTTCTTTCTTTTGGTTTGTTTCATGAAGCAGATGAGTATACCTATATTATATCTTAAGTTATCATATACCATATCCCAGAATCATATATGTAATATCAGAATTGCTGATAAAATCAGGGGCTGGGTTGGATGGAGGAATTCTTTCAAGTAAGGCAGCCTGCCTACCAAAATAGGCAGTCAGCTCCAGAATTCAAGAATAATAAAGGTCAGCTCTGAGGAGCTTCTCTTCTTAGTCCCTTTTTTTAAGAAAAAAATATTTTATTTTTTTATTGGTCATGAGCTTGAACTTAGGCCTTGGGTGCTATCCCTGAGGTTTTGTGCTCAAAGCTAATGGTCTACTACTTTGAGCCACAGTTCCACTCCTGTTTTTTTCTGGTGGTTTAGGAGATAAGAGTCTCACGGACTTTTCTGCCTGGGTTGGCTTTGAACTATAATCCTCAGATCTCAGCCTTCTGTATAGCTAGCACCTAGCACCTGAGCCATCAGCACCTAGCTTTTCTTTCTCTTTGTCCTTTTTTTATTCTGAAGATCTTACCCAGATGTTTCCGTTTTCTCATTCCCTCCCTTACTTTACTTCTTTCAAATTAATGAAGTCCAAGTTGGACCGGTAAGTATTACATGGAAAAGATGGTGGTGACTTCATATGGATAGCATCTGTCCCACATTCAAGAGTTAAAATGACCTAATGAAGAGATGGTGCTTTGAAGTGAAAAAGAATATTCTCCTCATGCAAAGAAAGTGAAATGACATTTCTGAGTCTTCTACTTTGAAGTTGGGAGTATAAGATTAATGACTTTATCAGCTGGAAACATCTGAGGAAATTTCAGTGCCTTTTTTTCTTCTATTAAGGTTTTGTATACAGAAACATAAGAGAAAGTTACCTAATGATGTCCATCTCTCAGAGAAAACAATTTTGGTTGAAATTAGCTCTAATTATAGGATCACAGAAAATGGATTTCTGGAAGCAGGGTAGAATATTTTAGGATTTCTCTTCTCCGTGGAATAGAAAATGGATTTTGGGAAGCAGGGTAGAATATTTTAGAATTTCTCTTCTCCTTGGAATAGCTGAAGGAAATAATAGTCATACTACCTCATAATAAGTGAGGTTGCTTAGAGGGTAGGTACTTAGTGGATAAGATATATTTTGTTTCATTATGTACTTCAGGGAATGGTCTTGAGTTGAAGGACACATGGAGGAGCAATGCTCATCCTCAGAGCAGGGTATATGTGACAGCTTCTTGCAGTTTGATACTTGATTCATTCTGAAAGCCTTTGCATAATAGAAAAGGTTTCTCTAAAATAGGAAGAGCCTTATTGGTTACTTTGGAATATCTTTGTTGTCAACTGGCTTTGGCTACTCTTCTAGTATATGATGTACATGACAGATGTCATTGGCTACTCTTTTAGATATGGTATATAAACAACAGATGAGCTGGCTGAATAGTTATCTCTATGAGGAAGGTTCGCCTACTAAGTGCTTGGGAGATGGTGGGCTGAAGGGTGAGATGAGGGTTGGGGGTAAGTTGTCTTGGTTTGTGGTTATGTGGCTTGGCTTCATGGTTTATTTTAACTTGTAAAAGTGCCCAGATGCTTTTTTGACATGTGTGCAATAAATCAATATAATAATAATTACACATATACAGAGATATACCACATAGCTTTTAACATTTTACTTTCTAAAATAGCTTCAAAGGACCCCAAAGCCAAGCTCCTTATTTTGTTTCTTCCCTTGATGTTTCTCACATACCAAAACTTACCCATTCAGCAACTCATGAATTCCATAGCAGTAGGTAAAACAATGAATTGGATTTCTTTTGCAAGTTGATTTTTAGATTTTAGCATAGTCATATATGAAGAGGGACAAATGTTAATCCATGAACACAGCATTCAGAAATGGGGGCATGTGGTTGGGCCCCTATATCTCAGTTCTGCATTTATAATATGGATCAGACCTGAGCTTCTGTGAACTTTATGGTCTCCATATATAAGATATCAGTCATTGTGTCATCATGGCACCTCCGGGTATAAAGTGCCTTGCATATGGAAAAGGGTTCTAAATACAAATTGTGCTTCTAATGATACTGTTATTATTGCTATTATTGTTGTTTATCAGAGATGTTTTGTCAAGTTGCATATAATTACTTACTGTCTTAATCATTCTGTGTTTTAGTTTTGAGAGTCCCTTTTCCAGGATTTAAGAGTTCAATTGAGTCAATTTTTACAATGTATTAGAAAAATTCAGAGATAGAAACATGTTGTTAGAGTAGCCATTTGTTTTATTTTCTATCTCAAAATTAAGATATTTGTTTTTTTCTCTGGCAAGTACACTTTTTTCTGACTCATCATAATTTCCAAAATTCCTGTCATGACAACTCTTACATGCATATGGTTTAGAAAATGTGTCATCTAAAATAGATACACAGTGCAGCTCACTTGTATAATAATTTCTTTTCAAGATAAGTAAGGAAGGGTCCTATTTGTCTAGGAATAAATATTTGAGAATTTAATACACAATAGAGAAAAACAACTGAGGAGAAGGTAAGGAGGATGTGGGAGGTGAAGCTACAATCTAACTGAACTGTTTCCAAGAAATCAATATTCACATTCCAGCAAAGAGTCCAAGGCTAGAGAGCCACACTAAGTGAGCCATAATAGTACAGAGATTTGGGCCAGAGAGGAAAAAAATCAGACCACCTGCTTTAGAAGGCAACTTTGAGCATACACCAATGCTGTGGTAGCAGCAGCAGCAATGAACAGGTAGAGTCAAGACAAAGGTGCCAGAGACAGAATACACACAGCTTTTCACTCCCCTCCAGGATGAACTGGATGATTAGGAACAGAAATCTACATCCTGCTGGCCAGAGATAGACACAGGTCATAGACTGAAAAATCAAGGGAAAGCAACAAGCTTATAGAAACACAAGAAAAATGGAAAAATCAATTCCCACTCAAAATAAACAGGCAACATATCAGTCAATTAAAAACCTAAAGGATACTTCTGAACATGCTCTACAAACACTACTGGCAAACAAGATGAATGAAAACACTGAAGCCTGTACATGGCTATGTGTGAGTGTGATGAGGCTAACCAAAGATTAATAGAGGAATTCATGGAATCCACAAGTTGAAGGTATTCCAACATAAGTAAAGAGAGTCCAATGGAAGTATAGCCACTCAGCTAACGGATTTGAAAGAGAACACTGGAAACCAAATCAAGGAAGAGTCCATTCAAGATCTGAAACAAAGCTGTAGCAAAGAAATTTAAGCCATCAAAACTGATCAATTAGAACGAAAGGAAATAAACAAAGGAGAATATCTTGACAGCAGATTAGCTGCAGAATTTAGAACTTTTGGAATTGAAGATAGTCTAGACTTTATAGAGAAAGAACACACAATTTTGCAAAACAAATCCAGGAAACAAGAGATCTCCACAGGAGATACAAGACACAATTGGAAAGCCTAATTTAAGGCAAATTATTATTGAGAAGGGTCTAGAGAAAGAAGCTAATGGAATAGGAAACATGTTTAGCAGAATCCTAGCTGGGACCTTCCAAAATATCCATAAGAGTAGGCCCATTCAGAGACAAGAAGCCTTTAGAACCCCAAAGAGACCCGACCAAAACAGGACATATCACTGCCACATTATAATCCACATAGCATCATTAGAGACCAAGAAAAGGATCCTTAAAGGGAACAATCACCTAGAAAGGAAAACAGAATAACTAAGACTCCTCAGCAGAGACGATGAAAGCAAGGAGAGCCTGGAATGAGACATGACATACCCTAAAGACAAGCAACTAACAACCAAGAGTGGTATACTCAGCTAATCTCTCCTTCATAATTGAAGGACAAATGAAAACTTTCCACAGTAGGGGAAAATGTTAACAAAGTATCTCTACCAAACCAGCATTACAGAAAATACTCAAAGATACTCTATATACAGAAGAC